ATTACTCAGCCATAAAGAATGAGAAAATAGATTCATTCATAGGAAAATGGATACATATTGAAGATATACTCCGAAGTGAAATAAATAAGGCACAAATGTGTAAATACCGAATAGTTTCTCTGGTGTGAATAATCTGCAATAATACAGAAGATCCTAATAAGATTACTGACATTTAGAAAAGGGAAGAAAGGAGCTAAAGGTGTAGGGAAGGTGGGATGGGTAGGGGAAGGGTAATAAGTGAAAAGAAAAAAATGTGAGATAATGAAAAGATGGAAATAAAATATTTATAGATGGGGAGGGGAGGAGGGGGTGAAGTGAGGGCAGGGACAAGGGGAAAAAATGAGAACCAAGACCTGTCATGTATAGGTACAAGATCCCAACAATGAATGTAACTGTACCGCATCCCTAAAATGTACCAATAAACTCAATTAAAACTGAAAAAAGGAATATCTTGAAAAATCTACGGTTAATGTCATACTCAGTGGGAGAAGATTGAACACTTATCCTCTAAAATAAAGAAGATAAGAATATCAAATCTCTTCAGTTTTAACCATCACTTTACTGGAAAATCTAGTAAGTACAACAAGGCAATAAGAAATAAATTGCATCCACATTATAAAAGATGAAAATTGTCTTTATTCACAGAAAACCTGCTAAAGTAGAAAATCTGATGTGATTCACAGGAAACTAATAAGTGAGTTTACCAAAAGTTTTAGAATACAGAATGAATATGAAATTATTTTCATTTCTATATATTAGCCACAAGTAATTAGAAACAGAATCTTTAAAAATGCCATTAAAATAAAGTGCCACTTAAAAGAGCATAAAATATGGCATATTTAATGATAAATTGGACAAAAAATGTCCAGACTTGCACACTTAGAAGTAGAAAACATCATTTTGAGAAATTTATGACGATCTGAATAAATGGAGGTATGTAATGTGTTAATGAGTTGGAAGACTCAATGATATTAAGATGTCAATTCTCCACAAATTGATTTATAAATTCAATATAAGCCCAATAAAAATTCAGTTGTGTAAAAATTGAATAACTGATTCTAAAACTCGGATGGATATCCAAAGGATTTGAAACAACCAAAGCAAGTTTGAAGCTAAGAAAGTCAGGGGACTAACACTACATGATTCAGTATTTATCACACAGCTACACTAATAAAGACAGTGTGACAATGGTGCACACAGACAATAGATTGGATAAAATAAAGAATCCAGAAACACACACACACACATATATGAGAACTGATTTTTAAAATAAAGATGCAAATGGGATTCAACTGAGAAAAGACAGTTTGTTAAACAAATGATTCTGGAACAACTGGATAAATGTGTGCAAAAACTAAACATGAACTTCACTGCAGACATGGCAGTCTAGAGGCAGCAGTGCTTAAGAGACACTTGAAAGATACCAGGAACTGCAAGTATGCAAAAATGGTAAGTGAATAAAAAATGAAAACACAGGAAGGCAATCTGAGAAAGAAGCCCACCAGATGAATTCCAGTATGACTCCATCTCTCAATCCTGGCACAGCTTACAGATCAGCTCTAGTGAACATGCCATCTCGAGAAAGGATCAAATCCTCCAAGGGAACAAGCCACATACAACATGGTAGTGGGATCCCTGTACATCCAGCCCCCAGCCTAGCAGTTCCTGCCCAGTGCCTACCTGTCTAAGATCCCTCACCACTGGGAGATGGAGCCCAGCAAGCAAGATATTCATAGGAGAGGGCT